GGACTGCATCATATTTCCAGGACTGTTGTCAAAATGTCATGTTGTCTCATTTTTTCAGAGAAGTTAAATGACCTGGTGACATGGTGACATGGTGACACCTTCAGTTCTTCAAAAATAATTAATTATTGAATAACCTGAAAACATTAACGTAAACATTAACGTAAACATTTATTTCCAGGACTGTTGTCAAAATGTCATGTTGTCTCATTTTTTCAGAGAAGTTAAATGACCTGGTGACATGGTGACATGGTGATACCTTCAGTTCTTCAAAAATAATTCATAACTGCCATCCTCCTGTGTTGTCAAAATGTCATGTTGTCTCATTTTTTCAGAGAAGTTAAATGACCTGGTGACATGGTGACATGGTGACACCTTCAGTTCTTCAAAAATAATTCATAACTGCCATCCTCCTGTGTTGTCAAAATGTCATGTTGTCTCATTTTTTCAGAGAAGTTAAATGACCTGGTGACATGGTGACATGGTGACACCTTCAGTTCTTCAAAAATAATTCATAACTGCCATCCTCCTGTGTTGTCAAAATGTCATGTTGTCTCATTTTTTCAGAGAAGTTAAATGACCTGGTGACATGGTGACATGGTGATACCTTCAGTTCTTCAAAAATAATTAATTATTGAATAACCTGAAAACCATTAACGTAAACATTATTTTTGTCTGAAAAATGACCAAATTTCACGAATTCATAACGTATATCACGTTAATTTTTTTCTAAGAAAATTTTTTATTTTGTATGTAAAGACAGTAATGACAAACATTGAGTTTGAAACAGTTAGAAAGATTGACAATGACACCAAAGTGGTTAGAATAGGTGATTTAAACGTAAGATACTCAAAGAAATACAACAAATATTCTTTGTCAGACATTATAACACCATCTGGAAAGAAAACAAAGGACTGGGTTAGAATTGCTTCAACTCAGAAAATTTTGACAAGAAATCCTGAGCTTATGATATCAGTAGCATTTCATGGAACAAGAGCATATCTTATAGACAAAAGTCTTATACCAATAGTTTTGTTATGGTTAGACCCAGTTGTTGGATATAACTTCATAACTTATGGTTCATTCGATACGGAACGTTGCAGTGAAGGCTTACTTTACATCGTTCAGAAACCGAAGGACTTCAATACAAAAAGATATAAGATAGGAAGAACATATAATATATCTCAAAGATATGACAGTACAGTCAATAGAGTCAAGGTTGTGTTCGTTAATGATATGAGAGCTGCAGAAACAGAACTACTTGAAAAGTTTGAGAAAATGTATGGTGCTCCCATGAAAGGTAAAGAAACGTTTGAAGTAGATGAGATAGATAAAGCTATAAAATTATTTGACGAAGTTGCTGAAAAATACATGTAAAGCGTTTATTTTTGGTCTTTTGTGAAAGTCAGAAAATAAAGTTAGTTTTAAAATTATTTTTATTTTGTATGAAATGACAGTAATGTCAACATCAGAGAAGAATAGACGGTAAACAAACATGGTGTTATGATTTGAATTAATTATTGAATAACCTGAAAACCATTAACGATAAAATAACTGATAACAAAGTTTTATTTTTATATAAATGGATACCCCACAAGCTCAAAATTTACCACGAATCATAACAAGGGAGGAAACGATAAAAATGATGCGAGAACTTGCTAAAAATAACAAACCACTAAAACTGAGAAAATGTGGTTATGCAGTAATGATGGAAAGAGAGATGTTGTCAAAGAAAAATAAAAATTAAATTTGGATTGAGTTTAAAAATTCATCTTTATTAAATTCATCTCTTCCAATCAATTTATTTATTCTATTAAATTCTTTTATTTTTGCTTCACTCAGTTTAATGATTGAACGATAAGTTTCTAATTTTTCGATTATTTCTTTCCTCTCTTCATCGTTTTCAACCCCACCACATTGCGGCTTCTTTTTGTAATAGCATATTTTTGATTTAATTCTGTTTAATTTCTTTTTATATTCATCGTCTGGACTCTTGGCTGCTTCGTTGTCACCCATTTCTTACGAAATAAAAAAAATTAAATATTATTTAAATATAATGGAGTAATAAAATAAATCGGAATTTCTATTAATTTATTGTCAACTTCAACTAATGCATTGCCGTTAATATATCTAACAAATTCAGCTATTGTGTCAAATCTTCGTCTTCTTTTTGTCATTGATTTATTAGTTTTTCCATAATCGAGATGAATCAAAACTTTATCCCCTTGTTTAAAATTCATGAGCCCCGAATTAATTTGTTCACGTTTAACATCATTCAACCTTTCCATTTGCTTTCTAATATATTCCCATTCTTTTGAAATATCATTTTTCATTTCCACTGGTTTCATGTTTATAGTTCTATGCCATGTATTATTGTAATAATATACTAACTGTTGTATGATGGAGTCATGATTTCCATCCCAGTATATCCGACCGTTAACCCCTAACGCATCTCTAAGAGTTCTCATTACCGCATCAACCATTTTATTATGAAACGTATATGGAGAAGATGAGAAGTAAAAATTAATTTGTGGGAAATAATGAATCATAGTTGCCTGAAATCCTTTATCACTATCACCCCTGATATTATCTACTCTTTCATGATCTAGTAAGTATTGAATAGCTCTTCTTGTTTCCTGTTCTGTTTTCCCTTTCACTGGAATGCAATATAAATATCTAGTGTTAATGTTAATGGCAAATAAATAAGTAACGTTTCCTTTTAAATATTCTAAATGATCGATTTCGTATGAATATGGATATGGAGCAAATGAAGGGCGACTAAATTTTTCCTTTAACGGTTGAATTTTCGGGTCAGTTGGTTTATTTAATATCTTGAAACCCTTTTTAAAATCTTTTTGCTTCTTTAATGTTTGAAATGGATATAATAAAGTGAATGATGAAGGATTAACTGAAGGAGGAGGTGGTTTTGGTATTGCAGGTACTGTCGTTGGAGGTTTTGGTGTTGCAGGTACTGTCGTTGGAGGTTTTGGTGTTGCAGGTACTGTCGTTGGAGGTTTTGGTGTTGCAAGTGGTTTAATTTTATCTGCTTTGATTTTGGAATTCATTCCCCCCTTCATTAATTCTGGATGTATTCTATTCATTTGTTTTAAATATGCTGTATATAAAGGTTTGATATACTTTCCCGCTTCGAGTTTATGTTGAAGGATGAATTCCAAAAGTTGATCTTCATTTAAAAGTCGGGCTGAATATGGTTTAACTAATGAATCATAAATTAAAGCTTGTGCATCATTTATGGTCTGAAGGACCTGGGCGTTTTGTTCCTTTTGTTTTTGCGGCTCAGGATTATATAAATTATATAATTCATCAATATCTTCTTCTGTTAATACTTTATTTTTGAAATCTTTCAATTGTTTAAGTTGTGATTTAGTTTTTCCCTTTGTATATTCATTATTTTTAATTTTGTCTTTAATTTTAGAAATTATTCTATCATGATATTTCAAAAATTCATTATCATAATATGAATAATAATATTCCATATCATCACCCGTTATATTGTTATCATAGTCTTGGAGATATGCTTTTAAATCATAATAACTAAGAAAATTTTGATTAAATATTAAATCATCAATTAAAATTTTTAAATCTGTGTTATTCATTTATATAAAAATAAAATAAATGTTTAAGGGTGCCCACCTCTTTGATCAAGAATCAAAACCATCATTAACGGTTCCTTTTGTCTCTTCTGTGGTATTTCATTAAAAAATAAAGTTTTAAATTGTATTAAATAAATGGCATACAACATCCATTTTCACAACATACAGCCTTAGTACAAAAAATAAACGTTGTTAAACCAATTACTGAAATAAAAATTTTTTCATCTGTTGAAGAATTTAATGACTACTATGCTAACAATAAAAAATTATTTGAAGAATTGACAACGTGTAAATTGAATAAAATGTTTAAAGTTGATGGATTCAAAATTTCAAAAATAAAGGGGGTGGTTAGTTTGAAATCTATTCCTCAATCAAGAATCACCTCATTAATGAAAATAGATGATTTAACAAAAAGAATAGAAGAGATTGAAGAAAGAATGAATCAAATAATTGATTTCATAAATTCAAATAATCATTAGTTTCAATTTCTTTTTCTCGTTTATGAGGTCTTTGATTATGACTCCATTGATTCCATGAAATTAAATATTCTTTATCATTATATTTATACCTCATTAGCTTATTTTGGCTTTCATATTCATTTAATAATTCACAGTCTTCCTTTTTAAATTGAAGTTTAACCCATTCAGGATTTAAACAATGTTTAATTAATCGCGGAATATCTGACATCATCTATATATAGCTTCTTTTATAAAAGATAAAAAATAAATTATTTTAAAATTAATGTTAATTTTTTAAAATGTGTTTATAAATAAATATATTTTAATGCATCGTCTATATATAGATGTAACAAAAAAAGTCACACAACCCTTCCTATCCTACTACTTTGCCTCAAAATAGGCAGATCAATGATATTTCAACTTAAAATTGCAGTATATTCATCACCATATAATATCATACTCATGTTTTAAGATTTTTATCAGGATTTGATTTCAATAGAAAAAAATTGATCGCGATATTTTAAGTGACAGTAATGCTTATCATCTAGTGTAGTAAAGAGGACATTTGGGAGACAATCAGGCCAAAACAAATTATGTTTAAATCTCGATGTTTAAAAATCTTTTTGGTTTAATAATTTTATGAGTTTCTTGTTTAATAGTACTTACAAACCATGTGTATAGATCTTAAATAAGTAAATACTGCTATTCATTTTGGGAATTTCTGTTTATATTAGGAAATTGAGAACAAAATAGATCATTGAATGCTTTGTTATTATGTGTATAATCTGAGATTCAAATTTCGGAGTATTATCTTCTATTTGGAAACAGTATTGTAGAAAATACGTATCTATTTTATTGTTCCCCAATATTTCATACGTAATTTTAGTACTATTGTTGAAAACTATTAATAATATTATCAATAAAAAAAATCATGAGCGTTGACTATTCAAAACCATATACTGACTTTATAGAAGCTTTTGAAAAACTTTTCAGTATTAAACCTGATAAATCTGTTGAAGATCTGTACAATACAATAACAAATGTCTTGATTTCTAAATACAAACTTTCGGGATATCGCATTTCAAAGATTATTCTTACGGCAATTCAATACAATTATGCTTCTACAGAGATATACATTAAAATTCTCGAGCTTCTCGGCTTCAAAAATAATAACATTTGTAAATTGGATTTTCCATTAGAAGGTTCGATCGAATATATTCTTATGCATGATCAAATTGATAAATTTAAAGAATATATTTCTCAAAAAAATATTAATAACAATGACACAATTCTTGAAATTCCAATGTTGAAAATCAAAAATTATTCAATTCACGATGAATTTGAAGATCTCAAAACTCTTAGCAATTTATCAATTGTTAAGCATAGAGTATCTTTTGCTTACTTGTCATTAATTAAAGCATGTGCTTATTTCGGGTCCGTCAATATTTTCAAATTTTTATTTTCAAATTTATATTCTAAATTAGACAATAAATGTCTTAGACTTGCAATTATCGGAAGAAATACAGACATCATTAACGATTGCTTGAAAGACAATGCGATGGATAGCGAATGTCTTAGAGATATTGTAAAATGTCATAATAATGAAATGCTTTCATACGTTTTAGACAGACAGATATTTACAATTCAAGATTTCGCAGTAAATAATTCGATTGGTACAAATATTTATGAAGATATTATCAAATATCAAAACCTGAAGGCTGTATTTCTGCTTTTCGCGAAAGAAAAAAACTTTATTGTTCCATGGTGCGCTGTATTTCCACAAACGAATGAGCTTCTAATGAAAGAAAAACTTTCTCTGGACAAAGTTACTTGGCGGAAATTGGATATTTTCCATTACGCATTCAAATCTAAAAATGTGGATATTTGCAGATATTTATTAGATTCCAATAGTATTGACGTCAATAAAAAGTCTATAGATGAAAAAACTTATCTTCATTATGCAGTAATGAAAGATTGCCTTGATATTGCTGATCTATTAATTTCTCATGGTATTGATATCAATGCAAAAGATTATCATGGTATAACACCACTTCATTGTGCTGTGATCAACGATAAAATAAGAATGGTTGAATTTCTTATTTGGCATGGGGCTGATATCAATACAAAAGATTATCATGGGAAAACACCAATTCATTATGCAGTTGGTAAAAATAACATAAGAATAGTAAAATCTCTTATTTCTCATGGTGCTGATATCAATTCTAAAGATTATGATTACAAAACACCACTTCATTATTCAGTTGATAAAGTAACCTTCATTGAAATTATTGAATTTCTTATTTCACATGGTGCTGATATCAATTCAGAAGATTGTGAAGGGAAAACACCATTTAATTATTTAATTCACAATGAATTTAATCCAGAAAAATTAGAACTTCTTCTATCACATGGTGCTAATATCGATTCAAAAGATCATAAAGGGAACATGTCATTTCAATATATAGCTTTTGTTGGATTTAGCCAAGAACGATTAAAATTTCTTTTAATGCATGGTGCTAATATCAACTTAAAAGACCAATGTGGTAAAACATCACTTCATTATTCAGCTATGGATGAATCAAGCCCAGAAAAATTTAAATTTCTAATTACAAATGGTGCTGATATCAATGCATAAGATGATGAAGGGAAAACACCACTGCATTATGCAGTTGGATACCGAAATCAAAATGTACAACTTCTTATTTCACATGGTGCTAATGTTAATGCAAAGGATTGTGATGGGAATACACCACTTCATTATGCGACAATCTCCAATAATTCAGAGATTATTAGAACTCTTATTTCCAATGGTGCTGATATCAATGCAAAATCTTATAAACAAAAAACACCACTTTTTTATAGTGCTAAAAATGGATCTACTACTACTGAAGAAATGAAAATTCTATTATCATTTGGAGCTGATATCAATGTACAAGATCTTGATGGGACAACACCTCTCTATTATGCGGCAAAGAAAAATGATGCAGGAAAAGTACAGCTTCTTATTTCGCATGGCGCTAATATCAATATTAAAGATCGTATCGGAATAACACCACTTCATTATGCGATATTAGAAAATATTATAAATATAGTGGAACTTCTTATTTCACTTGGTGCTGATATAAATGCAAAAGATCATGATGGGAAAACACCTCTCCATTATGCTACAGTCAACAGCAATTCAGATGTAATAAAAATTCTTATTTTACGTGGTGCTAATATCAATGCAGAAGATTACAACGGGAAAACATCACTGCATTATGCTGTAAGCGAAACTTTTTCAGATGTAATAGAACTTCTTATTTCACTTGGTGCTGATATAGATGCGAAAGATCATGATGGGAAAACACCACTTCATTATGCTGCAATCAAAAATAGATCAGATGTTAAAGAACTTCTTATTTTCCACGGTGTTGATATCAATATTAAAGATCATTATGGAAAAACACCTCTACAACTGCCATACAAATTAACTTATTGAAATCACAAATCTATTTGATCTTTATTATATTATTTCCTCGTTGTTGATTGAGATATATTAAATACTCTTTACAGATTTATTTTATCGATCTTAATGAATATTTTTCTGAATTGTTTTTCTTCACAGATAACCTCATAAATCCAATAGATCTCAAGTTAAGGTTCTGATGATTGATTCTCTATATAATCTAAATATAATTTGGAATCTTTGCATAAAACATATTTTATAACTGATAAAATTCATCCTCGAAAATACCAGAAAAAGAATAGAATATATGAAAGAACATTATTCTCACCAAGCGAAATGAGAACTTCTGCAATATGAAGCATAGTTTGTCCAAAATTATTTCGCATGGTTGAATATATATTATAATATCATCAGTTTGATCGAAATATACGAAAAAAGTTTCAAGATTATGAAGTAATCCACAATATCTTAACTCAATCTCTATAACGTTTCCAAATTGGGAGGGTTCAAATTATCTGACGTGTTCAAATTGGGTTTTGAGGAAAAAAGGGGGAACTTCGTCGACAACAAAGGTATCGACCAAAATTGTTCCCATTATGCTTGACATATGAAGTATAGTAATAGTGTGTATGGACTCATAAAATGACTTTCGTTTGATTTCGAGATATATTATGATCTTCTAAAATATTCATACTTTACTTTATAACCCATATGTTTTATCGTACTATGAAAATTAAACGAAAAATATGGCTCAAGACGAGCAAAATTCGATGGTAAAAAAGTAAATTGTTTATTGATTAGGGTGCTTTCAGGTATTTTTTTGAAGTAACACTTTATTCGTTTTTCTTTCTATATCTGTATATAAAACATGCACAAATAAGGATTTATAATTAAAAATATTATTCGAATTGGGTAAATAAATCGTTAGATCTTAGATTTTATTAATCATTTCTTCTTAAATTGAGACTGTGGTAATGGTATCTGTGTATGAGAGTTAGAGTATTGTTAAATTGCGCGATTTTGTTGATAAGTTTCAAAAACAATTTGTAGTATGTTCAAATATATTAAAATTTAATAATATGTGATAATATCGACTGCAAACAATCGATTTTAAGTGATTGATGAAAATCTATATCAATATTTAAAATTTTCGAGGTTTTTTTGACTGATAGCAATTGCTTTGGATACCTAGAATGAAGTTCTTCTTGGTGAATTTCTCCAAATTTTTTCCATTTTAGAAAAAGCCTAAGCAATTTTTTAGAAAATGATAACGTTTTTTTCAATTCTCGATATTTTTTAGAAAAATGAGTTTAATTTTTTTGAAAATTTATAATTTAGAGAGAAATAAACCATATTCATTGTGTTACAAATCGATAGAACCTTTTTATTTTTGATATTATATAATATTTTTACTAAAATATATCACTTATACAGCAAAATCAAATAACTATTTTTCAAAGATATAGAAAAGAAGTATATATTCCTAAATTATAGATCAGTCATAGTTTCCTATCAAAAATAATATATTATTATATATAGATAACCATCCATTGTTAGTAATTTAAAATTATTTCTGGTTCAAATTAAGGATTATCTTCACATGTTTAGAAAATATTGTAAACATCTAGAAAATAATCAATAAAATCATGATTTTATTCGCAGATGAGTTCAAGATATATATTGTGATTTGCTTTTCGATAATAAATCTGAATCAAATGTAAATTAAACTCGCACATTTAGTCTTCTTATCATAATAATGTTATAAGTTAGTGACTATGGCTACAAAACAAGCAACATTAGATCTGTATCTCATAATCAAACGGGAGTTAAGCTAAGATATTTGAGATTTTATCACCTGATAGTATGCATGATACTATACCAGAATGACTAGTCAATCTGTTGTTTTAATATCGTTTTAAATTTTTTATGCCAAAATAGTACTTTGACTATCATTGGTAATACGTAAGGTTGATACTGCTGTAATATTTCGAAAAAATAAAGGTATCAACTTTAATGCAAGATATGATGAGTTGAACATGGAATAATTGGGTTTTTGTAATATTAATATTCTTTAGTCCCTAGTATATCATTGTTTCATACTAACCACGTGGATCAATTCCGTTTCAATGATCAGATAAAACAGAAACAATATACTCAGGTGCCACTTTTTTGGTTTAAAAAATGAGTTCCCCCTTTTTTTGAGGGTATTTGTAAATCTTATCGTACTCATCAAAAAAGAGATGTATTTAAATGAATAAATTATTTATTTGTCATATAAAGTTAATATTATGTATTTTTACTTGTTTTCTACTTTCTTTTCCTCTGTTTTCTTTTCTTCAGCCTTTGCCATATTCTTCTTTTCTTCTTCGATTTGTTTTCTGTATTCCTCCTCTATCTTTCTAAGAAGCTCTTCCTGCTGCTTCCTCTTTTCATCTCTTTCCTTAAGAATCTGCTTTAATTGCTCTTCTGTTCTCTTTGGAACCTTTGCCATGATTTTACGGGCTAATTGTCTGAAGGCTGCAGCACCATTGGAGTTTGGATCGGAAAGAACAACTGGGAAGCCCTTTTCGCCACTAATTGCGATCGCATTTTCTCTTGGAATGGAAGTAAGAACGTCTACGTTTGTCTCGCGACTGACATCGATGGCATCGGCTGGTTGCTTGTGCTTAATTGGCGTTCCGCAGTGCATGCATCTCTCATTATCGAAATTCTTAACAATACCAGAGACTGGGATCTTCAGTTTGTGAAGAGCATCAATGGTACGAAGTGTAGATGTCTGTGATAACTGATCGCAGCCTGTAACAACGATCGCGCCGTCAATATGAACGTGGTCGTTGAGAGCAGAAAGAATTTCGATGCTGCCTGATGGAACATCAACGATGAGGTAATCGAGATTCGACCATTCTGATTTCTTTGAAAGTTGTTCGACAAGTTTTGGAATAAATTGGCTATTCCAGAGCAAAGCCTGATCTCTCTCTGTGCCATTACCGACAGAGATAGTTTCGATACCGTATGCTGAGATTGGAAGGAAGTTTTTCTCTTTTGAAAGTTGAAGATTATTTGTAACTGTGTTGCAGAGCTGTGGAACTGAAGGAGCGAAGAGATCTAAGTCTAATACACCTGCTGTGTTATCAATATCAGCAAGAGCAAGAGCTGTGTTAACAGCAACTGTAGATTTACCAACACCGCCTTTTGCGCCGACTGTAACGACAATACGATCGATACCCTCGATGAACTTGTCAACATCTGTGCGTGCAAGAGCCTTAAGAATTGTTTCCTGTCCGGCAAAACGCTTGAAGGCCGAAGTAAGCATTATTTTTGTAAAAACACAAAAATTTTTTTAGATGGGTCGATCAAATCTTAACAAAATCCTTTAAATAATATTAAAATTTCATGTTAATCCTAAATTACATCAAAATGGCTCATCCACGCCAATTTTCAAAAATCTTCAGATTCAATTTCTTGATTTATGATTCAAATTTCATATATTCGAAAAGAAATATACAAGCACACTCATTTAATTTGTAAAATATGATTCCAATTCGTTTCGAAATTTTGATTTCTTGGCACTTTTTTCTCCAATATATAATTTTTCAATTTTTATAATGTTTTTTCTACTCCATAATGCCAATACTTTCTTTTCATCAGAATATGTTGGCATTCTCGGGATCAAACTAATGCCACATGATCGCGAAACTACAGTAGAAAATCATAAATTTACAATAATGGATTCCATATTTTACAATTGCTCAACAAATGCGCAATCAGATCGCTCTGGTGGTGGAGCAATTGCTATTAATAAGAAAGCTATATATGGAGTGATTGACAGAGTTGTTTTTGATACTTGTTCTTCAACCGGTTACGGTGGCGCCATATGTTTAAAGTCTACAGACGGATACTTTCAAATATGTTGTACTATTGCTCTAAAATGTGTAGCAAAAGATACTCTTGGCAATTTTATAAAATCAGATGGGAAAAATCAAAACTTCTTTAATCTTTCGTCGATTTCGATGTGTGGTAACTCGAACTTTCCTACAGGAAGTGCTCCTGTGTCATTTTCAGGACACAATTTCGCTGGCCACATAAACTCTTCGATTAATGACTGCTTTTCGAAATCAGGATCAGAATTTTTAGGAAATTCGAATCTTACAATGTGTTCTTTCATTGATAATTCCGCTACAGATGCTTCGTGTCTTTTATTTAGTTATTTTCTCGAAATGAAATTCGTAAATATCATTAAGAATTACCAATTAAATACCGAAAAGGGTATGATAGTACTTACGCCTAACGGAAATTACCACATTTTTAATACATATATCGCTGAAAATAAAAATGGAAATACATTTCAATGTAAAGACGCAAAACTGCAAATTGAAAGTTCTTTTATTGATGTATTCACATCCGATGTACCAATAGACTTTGTTCCTGATCAATCTCAATCACAGCTAAATATAACTTTTTTCATTGGAAATTTAGACGCTGTTCTACGACCACGCCCCACAAGAACGCCAGCATATAGAAAGGGATATCATAATAAGAATGAATTGTTGATCCAATCCCAAAAAAGAAGAAAACAACTGATGATGTTCATTTTACTCTCAATTGTTGTAATTTGCACAGGAATTCTTGCAATTATATCAACAGGAAACGATGATCTCCCTGAGGAAGAGCCATTACTATTAAAGAAAAAGAAAAAAGCAGCATTATCTCCAATGAACGCTATTGTTTAAAATACGGATATGTTTTTGTTTGTATGAATAATAAAGATTTTGTTTTGTTTAATTATCCATGAATTTTGTCTTGATAATTTTAAAATAATCTGGGGTTTACGGATTTTTTCCCCTATTGTCCTTAAAATACGGAAAGCACATTAGTAAAGGATGATGGGAAATTTTTGGTTATAAAATCCTTTTTTCTAATAAATGAATTAAGTATTGGGTATTTTCTTTTTGCATCATGATAATACATTAGTAAGATAATGTATTTGTATCATTAAATACATGTGTTTTTGTTTATTATTCTTTAAATCAGAGACATTCTGTCTATATTTGGGTGTTATTGAAGAATATTACATTAGATATTACTGTTCATATGCTTTTCTTTTATTTTTCGGCGTTAACTATTGCACATACCTATCTGTTGTTTTCATTTAAATTCATATTCATTCAAATTCTATTGAATACTATTAATTTAATGATGTGCATAGAAATTATATGTATAACAGTGCAAAATATTTAAGTATTTATGCATAATCAGATATTGAATCAGTAATACAAGTTGTAAATATATACAAGCACACAATATGTTCACAGCCAAAGTCTTTCTTGATCAAGGGCATAATCAGATCTATCCAATTGCTAACCATTCCCAAAATCACTAATCTCAAACAGGATATTGGGGGTATACCAATTTTTTTATAACGTACAAAAAAAACCAATTCCACGTCAGTAAAGGATGATAGACTTCGATTTTAAGCAGGACTTGTTTTATTCTTGATTTGAATATACCACTGATCAGAGCATAGCTTCTGTATTATTATATTGAGTGCATGCATCCTCTTATTAGTTATATATGATATCGATAATCTGATTATTGGTATCATCTAGTTTGAGCAAGATCCGATCTTTATTTTGTGCTTTTTATGATGAAGATGTGTTTTATAAGTTAATCTGTTATATAATTCAAAAGATATCATGCAAAAAACTGTGTAAATCATATAACATATTGAAATATATTATTCTATAGCTGTACTTGTTCATATTATTTTGTAAAATATCAATTTTCTCTATGATATTTTGAAAAAAAATAATGTATTGGTATAAGTGAAGAAAAATAGGACATATGTAGGTCAGGTAGGTGGGGCTTCCAGGCGCGTTGCGCCCTCTAGCCCATAAGAAATTTTGCCCAAGACCCAAGAGGAGGACCGAACCCCAGCCGACCAGCCGGTGACAAAACCAAAACCGTTGTTATTTACATCATATTAATGGTGTCACTTTTTTAAATGTCACTTTTTATGTCGCTTTTCACAAATTATATATGTTTTCATGTTTTGTCACTTTTCTATCACTTTTCGGGTAAAAACATTTTTATTATTATATATAAATGAATTTTACAAAACCGCCGTTACCGTTCTTTGGAAATAAGAGTAGATGTAAAGATATTATATTGAGAGAACTTAAGAAACTACCGAATGGTCTAACATTTGTAGATTTGTTCGGTGGAAGTTTCTATATATCCCATTTATGTCATACAATATTCCCAGACTCAAAGATTATATGCAATGACTTCGACAACTATATGGACCGTCTCAAACATATACCAGACACAAACAATATATTGAAAGAGTTAAAAGAAAAGATACCTATAGGTAAGATGGAACGTATACCATTAGATAACAAAAATATTGTGAGAGAGGTTTTGAAAAAAGCAGAATATATAGACTGGGATAGTATATCTGCTAGACTATTATATAGTGGTGCTATAAGAGTTCATGACATTGAAACACTTATGTCAAAAGTTTTATATCTTAACTATACAAATGTTTTCAAAGAGAACATAGAAAAATATATTGAGGGTATAGAGTTTGTGAGATGTCATTGGACAGAGTTGTATGAAAAATATAAAGACAAGGAAAATGTTTTCTTTATAGTGGACCCGCCGTTCTATAACACATGGGATTTTCAATACCAAGTAGACTGGACTTTGAGAGACTCTTTAGAAACTTTAGACGTTATACATAACCATCCATGCTTTTACTTTACATCCGATAAAAGTGGTTTGGAAACCGTTATGAGATGGTTAGAGGACATACATGACTATGAGTTTATATATGACAAGATAGAATATGAGAGAGGTCCTATAAACTGGAGAAAGTGTCACAATAAAGAAATTTTATTAGTAAGTAAATGTGGTTTGAAATAGGACTACTTGTTTTAGGTTTTTTCCATTGTGTCATTTATTTATTTGACGTGGCAGAAAAGTACAGAGAATATGAAGATGAACCAATGCCTGCAAATGTTCAGCATATGTACTCGTAAGAGATATTTTTATCTAATATTAAATGGACGCACATAACTTAGCGAATGCACAGCAACCTGGACAACCAAACCCAGAGAATATTCCAAATGAAGTTAGAATACAAACTGCAATGGCAAACTATGGTCAAGTGCCAACAGATGTACAAATGCAAACTGCCATGTCAAATGACGCTGCGTTAGGTTTGCCACCATGGTATGTAAATATGAGATGGAAAGAGTTTTATACAAACCCTGAAGTGGGATATAAACAACTTTATGCAGATGACGCGAACACAGGAGTTGACCCAGAATATGTTTTCTACCAGAGGAGAAACAGAATGTATGAGCTCCAGTTAAAGAATGCTATGGAACTCAACAGGAAACGTAAGAGACTAGGCGGACATTAGATTTTTACATATAGTAAAATGGGTTTCTTCAGTAAGATAGGAAACTTCTTTCGAAATGTTGGAAGAGGTATATGGAATGGAATAAAATCTGTCGGAAGAGGAGTATGGAACAGTGTCAAAAATATTGGTAAAAGAGTAGGTCAGTTTGTTGGTATTATACCTAAAGACCCTGAACCAGAAGAACAAGCTCCTGTAATACAACAGCCTGAACCTGCACCACAGTCAAGTTGGCAACCACAACCGGTATATTAAAAAATTATATTTTTACCGTTCGATAGTAGTTGTATATGAAACTAAGTTCTAAGTAAAACGCATGGTATAATGGAATTATTCTTTTTCTTCCATCTGTAGTAAACCATACTTGAAAGTCTGAAATACTTCCACTTGGTGGTTCGTATAACTTTGTAGGTTTTTCGTAAAAGTCATTTGCCAAGCATAAGAAAGAGTTTTGGGCGCCAGAAAATGAAGCATGAACTATCACAGCATCTTGGTCGAAAACATCTTTAAATAAATATGGTTCATCTCTTGCATATCGACTGTAGATATTTGCTAAAGGAGGTTCAACTTTCTGATTTAACATTCTTTGCAAATAATACCATGACATTGCAATGAATTCTGTATATATTTGTTCGTCTTTATTTGGATTGTCTTCGTAGATTTGAAATGACACTTGTGAATTTTGTTTGTCATATACAATTCTCACATAAAGTGTGCTATCGGTATTCGCATATTCATCAGCATATTTTGCATAACATGAATTTATTTTATCTTCTATATTTTTAATGCAGCCTGTAGAGAAGATGAGAGGTCAACTTGTATTAGCTCAATTTCTTCCCACATTTTTCGTTGCCCTTCAGATGTATAATCTATATGAAACCTTACAATAAATGGAAAACTTTTATCTTCTACAGACACAAACTTTATTCTTCGAAAGCCAATAGCTTTTGTGACAGATGGGTCTCTTAACCATCTTAATGGGTAGTCAAAACGATAGCCTTCATGCTTTACAGTATCTGTCTCAAACTTTTGACCGACATTAGTAAAAAGTTCATCTAATGGTTTAGTTGTAGCAACTCTAGAATTTTCTTTTTCTATTGGAAGCATATTTTATCTATAATAAAAATGTCAAATGAAACAGCGTCTATGAGAGAAATACAACACAACCGACAACTCATTATGCAAGCTCTAAATAAGAACACAACAAACTTTTCAAACTATTCTAAGATATCTGAGTCATTGAAAGGGGGTGACTTAAAACTGACAATAAACCCAATGACAGATGAGTTTCTATTTCAAGACAATAAGAACAATACTGTCTGTATAAATCCAACAAAAGGAACTTTAAACGAGAAACCTATAAATGAACTTCTTTTGAAAGCAGATGTTGACAACAAAGCTGACAAAGAATATGTAGACGATGCAATAGCAAAAGAAGAAGAAAGAGCTAACAATGCTTATGCAACAAAAGAACATACTCATCCTGAACTAGCAGACAAAACATATGTTGACAATAAAATGTCAAGTGAAGTGACAAGAGCTGAAAACGAATATTCTAAAAAGACTCATATACATTATATTAACCAAATACCAAGTCTTAAGGAAACATTAGAGACAAAAGCAGATAAGACTCATACACATTCTATATCTGATATTACAAACTTACAAGAAACCTTAAACAGGAAAAGTGACGTTGGACATACACATACATCTTCTGAAATAACAGACTTAAACGTTAGCCTTGAAAATAAAGCAGATAAAACATATGTCAATGAAATATACCAAAGTTTGATAGGAACAAAAAATATTGAAACTATTGTTGGTGACTTTTCTGTCAATGAAGAAAATAAATATTTTAGATGGCAGTTGGTACAGTCCTTAAAAAAATGGTACACGGCATAAACTCATTCCGAAAAATAACAATGAAATGTATGTAAGCTATAAAAAGAATGATGGTACACAAGTTAAAGTTCCATTAGACAACAACTGCTACTTAAACTTATATGGAGACGAACAAAAGAAATATTTAAGAGTTTATGAAATGGCAGATATGACATTGCCTGACCCAGCTCCAGCACCACATTATTATGACTATGGAGATGACGACAGAACACCACATGTAGATGAACAAAAGCTAACATTATATTTAGATTATTATAGATATAAAAGATATAATGCAATAGAAAAAACGAGAATAGTATATTATTATACAGATGACAGAAATAAATATTATAGTCAAGACTGTACCTACCCTGAAAACATAAGATTATATTATAAAAAATATTCTGACACAAACCAGAAGAAACCTAAAATAGTTGCACTATATTTTAAGTTCAAAAGAGACAATCCTATAATATCTCATATGTTTGATTTAATGAACCCAGTAGGTTCTATTTATACATCTATGGATGCAAGAGGTCCTCAAATAATGTTTGGTGTTGGTGCATGGGAACAAATAGTCGACAGGTTTTTGTATTGTGCAAACTCTTCAAAGGAAACAGGTGGAAGTAAAACGATTTCAGGTGAAAATTTACCTGCACACAGTCATTACATAGATTTAAGTACATCTCAAGCAGGTTGGCATAAGCATAGATATTGGGATTGGTCAGGAATGACAAAAGGTAAAGGATATGATGTTAAAGACGACGTTAAGTTTGCTATAAATTGTTACTGGGATGACACGCAGGGAGAAGGAAACCATACACATTTCGTTTCAGGATATACGCAAACAACGGGACAAAGTAAAGAATACATGCCACCTTACATGACAGTTTACGCATGGTATAGAATTGCTTAGTCGTCATTTTCAACTTCTTTAGCATATTCGTCAGGAGTTGTCTTATATTTGTTAGGAACTGTCTTTGAAAGTATACCACCTTGAACTTTGACAAGTTTGAAACGAGGTCTGACAATAGTAGTTTTATCTTCTGCTTGCAGTGTGTACATTTTGCCATGTTTGCCTAAAACTTCATAATATTCTCTTGTATACTTTCTTCTATTTTTACGAACACGAATGTGAGTACCTGTCGGGTTCCCATTGTTGTCATAGTCAATAGTATTTTCATATGGGTCGCGTTTAGGTATTTCTATTTTTACTTTGTCACCTTTCTGAAGTTTGAAGCCCGGCATTCTTTCTTGTTTGTCTCTTTTGACTAAATTATTAAATATATAGTCTTTCTCTAAGTCAGGGTTGTTTTTCATTTCTTCGGGGGAGTGGTTTCCCAAACCTTTTTGTTTACGGTTATTGTAAATATTTAAAACTTGTCTCATCTTTGCCATGGAGAAGTGTCTATACTTGTCGTCATATGACATTTCATTTGCTTCACCACCCTGTGGTTGGTTTAAGTCTCTTAACATTTTTATACAACCGTCAATGACACCAAGAGCAGAATGGTTTTGGTCGACAATGAAATATTGGTTTACATTTTTTGAACGCAGATAGTTTTTTACATCATCTGATTTGAAAGAACTTTCACAGTCAGATGTCAGTTTTGTTGGATGGTATTTGTCAACGAATATTGTCAAAGCAGTTTTCACATCTAAAATATTTTTGGACCATAATGGTATGGCTTCACAGTATCTTGTGTTTTGACCAACAAATATTAACCAGTATGGAGGTCCATCTGTTCTAACTCTCGGAATGTTTTCCAAGATATCCATAAACCAAGCATTTGGTGTTGAACTAAAGATTTTTATCATGAGTGCTTTCTTTGTCGCTTTAGAAACATACGGGTCCTTGTTTGGATTCGTCATTTTTTACCCTGTAAGAAATGGGTTTATTTGGCGCATTAGCAGGAGTCGCATCTAGATTTTTACCCGCAGTGGGAACAATAGCCAGAGGTGCATTTGGAATTGGAAGGAAGATTTTGAGTACATTAGGTATACTGAAAGAGAAAGCACAACCTATTATACAAACTGTACAGAAAGGTTGGGATGTAGCACGAGATGCAACAAATCTTATTCCAAATCCTGAAACAAGAGGAAAAGTTCAAAGATGGATGGACAATGTAGGAAGACAAGCAGGAAACTATTATAACAAAGCAAATGACTACTATAACCAAGCAGGACACTATATGGACCAAGGTGAAAGATTCTTTAACAGAGGATATAACCATGCACAACAGTGGGTAAACAATAACCAACCTCAACCGCCTCAAACGTGGGGAATGTAAAGTTTTTTATTGAGATGAAATGAACAATGCAGCATTGAGACAAATGAGTTCAAGATGGATTTGTCGGCTTCCAGCATTTAAACCGATACCATATAGTCAGGCTCAGCATGTGAAACTGAATGATATTATTAAAGGAACCATCCCACCTCCACACACAACAACCAGTTGAAAACAAACCAAATTAAAATTTTTTACTGAGATGAAATGACCGAAGAAGTTGAAACGGTAGATTTGACACCACAACAAAAAGTTCAGAACCATTGTCAAAACCTGTCAAAGAACTTACAGATGAAGAGAAAATTCAATAATAGAAAGTGCCAGGTCTGGAAATACAAACCCTAACTATAAAGTCACTTTTCATAGAAATGGAACGGCTAGTATCTCAAAAAGAAACAGACTCTCACAAATAAAATATTGAAGTCTGAAGGAGCTTTCGAGACAACAGATGGAAAAGTTTACTTCACTGACCAACAGTTCATTATAGAACATCTCATTGACTTAGAGTCGAAATATTCTAAACTTTACAACACACAAAAAGTTGAAAGGAAAACAAAAACAAATGGCATATGATATTTATGAAGATGTTGACGACACAACTGTTCCTGCAAGTGAAGTAAAGTCAGAGGAACCGAAAAGTGACGAAAAACCGATAGAAGAAGAAAAACCAAAAACTGAAGATAAACCAAAACCAAAGTTTAGTTTCCAAACTAAACCAAGTCAACCTTCATTAGCTGGTATGGGTTGGCGTCAAAGACTTATGGCAGCAGGCGGTTATGTAAAGTAAAGAAAAAAATATTTTTTTATTTTTATAAAAATGCCCCCATATAGAATGGATAGAAAGTCTGCTAGAATAAAAGCAGAGTTACAAAGATATGGTTGGAGAGTTTCGAAGAATTTTAAATATAGGAAGGGAAGACCCATAAAAGTCTATGACAAATTGTCTGGTCTTCGCTACGAAATGGATTTGGAAACAGCACGTGCAAATTATCCAAACAGACTAGAGAGGTTAGAAGAAGAACGTCTTATGGACATGCCTTTCGATGTTAGTGAACCTCAAGTTGAAGGACACGACGGCTTTGCCAGATTCTACTGGAAACATGACGAACAATTGCATCCTTTGAGAAGGAAAAAAGGAAAAGGTGAAGACGCACATGCTCCCATGGAAAGAACAAGATATGCATATGAAAAGTATCGTGAAGTTAGAAGTCAAATTACATCTGGTCGAACCTTTACAGTAAACTTTGACGAAGGAAAGAACAAAGAAGGCTTCATGGAGTACTTGCTGCCATACAAGACGGAAATAAGAAAGGACACAATCTCAGATTGACCAGAACAGATTTGGATGGTCACATTTACTATGCACATGGCAATGAACAAACAGCCGCAAAACTTCTTGACGCTTTCAAGACTACAAAGAGAGAACAAATGGTTGACTCCGACTCAGACATTTTGAATGCAATTGAAGGAATTGCAAGTGTCAAGTTCGAATGGTACCAACCTAACCCTCAAGCAGTCAGACAACATGCTGGATACTTCCCGTTCATAAATAAGTCTGACATTGACTTGACAAGGTATGGAATTTACAATTCAATTGAAACAATTGTCAATGAACCTTGTATTCTTACATGTCTCAGGAACTCTGGTCTTGTTACAGATGAGAAGATGAAGTATCTTGAGTCATGTGTGAAGACAAGGTACATTCTCAGAGGTCAATTGGCAAAAATTGCACCGTTGGCAAATGTCAATATCCGAGTCAACATACCTACAGCTAAAGGTTCTTCACATGACGACTATGTTGTTGACAAAGACTTACCATGGTTGAAGATTGTAATTGTCCACAACCACTTCATGTTGAACGAAAGTCTTACAAACCCATTCTTTGGTAAAAGTAAGTGCAACATTGTCAGAGCTGTAAACATTCTTTTCGAGAAAGGTTTGTTGGAACCAATTCCAGATGACAAGCTGACAGAAACTTTTGTACCAAAAGACGAAACAAACTTTTCATTGTTAGCAAGACCAAAAGTTGTTCCAGACAAAGTTCTAGTACAAAAGAAGTACACAGTTCCACAAGGGGTTGGTATGTTCGGATACCAACCTGAACCAGAAGAACTTCCAATGAGGTTGCAAGAACTTCAAGATGCTATAAACAAACTTCCATTGAGACATCCAATTGACGTCAAATTGTATTGGAGAGCATCTGAGTTAGGTCAGAAGGTTTTATATGAAACAGGTTGCTTCGACGATGTTTATGAGATAACAGGAGAAGTTTCTCAGAAGATAAGAGACTCACTTGAATTTCCACAAACTGGACCAATTGGTTGCGACAAGTTCGACTCAGATGAAAAGATATACTATGTCGACCTTAACGCTGCATACATGAGGTTTGTCCAATATATTCCGACTGGAATTCCAAACGAAGATGGTGAGTTCCCGGGAAGGAACTATACAGTTGGAAAAGTCATACAACAACTGTATGATATTAGGAAAGCTTCAAACCCCAAACTTGCAATGACACTCAAATTGCTTATGAATTCGACATGGGGATATTCCATTAAGAAACCTCAAGAGATGAAGAGTAAACATTATGAGAAGGTCGACAACTTTGTTGAAAGGTTTTCTCCTTTTGTTTTGAAGTACGAATTCACTCAAGGTCAAAGTGGCTTAGTAACCACATTAAAACCTATTGTCGAACATTGGTCTTACCCTCAGTTCGCAAAAGCAGTCCTTGACGAGTACAACAAATTCTTCTCCGAAGTCAAATCAAAGTCAAGGTTTACTATGAGAACATTGACGCACTCATGACGAACGAAGAAGGATACAACAAACTCATTGAAATGGGAAGTCGGTGAAAAGATGGGTCAATTCAAATTGGACAAAATTTTCACCGAAGTTCATGTCCTCTCCAAGCGTAAGTACTGGGGTGTTAAAGAAGATGGTGAAATAGTTAAACATTGCATGAAATAAAAAATTTATTTTTTAAAAAGTGACATTTTTTTAATGGCGTACATCCCTGAGCGCTTCGTCCAGTTCAACCAAATGTTGGTCTCGGACCCAGGCAAGAGATATTCCAAGCCCGAACTCGACCGTCTCTTCAAAGAATGGATTGAAGACTACAGAGGAGACGAGTGGTTGACAATTGAATTTGCTCGGGCTTGGAATTGCTACAGAAGGGTCTTAGACGTGGACCCAAGACTCACGTACAGAGGTTGGGATGTGGTCTTCACATTCCAAATTGGTACGAATACCAAAAATAAAAACTTAAATTTACTTGGGGTTTCCCCCTAAAATATTTTTTTTTACTCTTAGAACCACTCGAGGTTCTCCTTACGGTTGTTGAGCTTGTCACCGTCAATGTGTCTGACCTTCGTCTTCTTGTCTGGATTTGGAACCCATTGAATTGCGACAAGCTTGCCCATGGAGATTGAACCGCGATTCCGAAGGTTAAGGTTCAAGTGTCCCAAGTTGTTGAGGACTGGGGTAAGAACCTTGCCTGTCTCCTTGTTGCGGATTTGGTATGGGTAGGGTTGGGAAATTTCGTAACCGTCATCGGCAACAAGGGTTGCCCATGTAGCGGCTTCAGGAACTTCTTCTTCTTCCTCTTCTTCTTCGTGTTTCTTTTCTTCCTCTTCTTCCTCGACAATTCCTTCTTCAATTTGGTACTCACGAAGTCCGGTGTTGCATGTTCTGTCCTTTCCGAGTACCTTCCAGATGGCGTCTATCTCTTCGAAGAAACGGTAGATGAGTCTGGCAAGGTCTCGGTTCTCTCTCTCGTAATTGCGCAAGGTTTCCGCGAAATCGTTCAGGACTTTCTCATTGGAAGCTTGGTTCATGAGGACATCGGCTTTGAGATTGGTCATCTCTGTCATAAGACTACTTTGGAGAGTCTTAATGGTGTTTGTCAGATGAGCTTTCAATTGGGCAATTTGAATTTGAATTGGGCGCTTGTCTGGCAACCTTGAAAGGACATCTGCCATTGTGTTCGGCTTCGGTGCTTGTTCGGACATCGAAAAAATGAAGTGGTTTGAGAATGACGGTTTTACTTCAAAAAGCTGGTTATGACAGTTAAGTCATACAACAAGTTTAAAATAATATCTTGCTCTTCTTCTGAACGTTTGTTGTCTCTTCCGATAAAAGTTTCGAACATGAGAACCAAAAAACGTTTTTTGAGGAACCAAAAGAGTTCAGGCAAATTTTCATATTCTGGATATGTTGGGAGCAGTTCAAAACATCTGAGCTGACTTTCGGACAAAATTGGGACAATGTCAGAAAATTCATCTTTGGTCGGACTGCTTGAAGGTAAGTCCCTTACATGTAAGTAGCTCTGGTTAAGTCTTCTCATCTCTGCTAACTTCTGGAGTATAGCTTCGTAATTTAAGAGTTTTAATTTTAATTGTCTTATTCCTCTCTTGACATCTAAACGGTAAGTATCCATGAGGTCAAGAGTAGCTTTGGTAGCTTTAAGTGGAGCTATCTCTTCTTTGACTTGTGCAATTTTGGTTGCAATTGTGGTTTGAGCTCCTTCAAGTTCGCCGTCTATGTCGTTCTCAACGCCTTCAACCATGGCTTGAAACTCTTCATCGGTCCATTGAGATTGGTGTGGGACGAATTTAACTTGCTTCATTCAAAAAATGAAAAAAAATGTTTTTACTCTAAACGTGCTATGTATATGGCTATAAGAAACTTACCAGAAGGCTTCTTCTTCACATGAGTCTTTGGCAACTTGAGAGTTCTTGTTGGAGTTGGGTCTGGAATTTCAATTCTCTCTCGAGCGCAACAACAGATGTCAGAATAACATTCCCCACTGTCTTTCTTGCCACCATAAACTGTGTATTGACCGAACTTGCATTTGCAGGAAGACCGGTCACTACAAGGTTCACAGTTGAAATAGTTGTACTCATACCTGGTGAGTACGAGTGTGAGTAAAAACATAAAAAAAGTGAGTTAAAATGAGATGTTTACTGAACTGGCTGAATGTCGCCTTCACAGGTTATGTAGAACGGCTGACCAGAGAAATGAAGGAGAGACTGAATTGCCAATTTCATATGGGGTAGGGGGTTCTCCTTGTTTGGTATTTTTATCCAAGGACGTTTGTTTAGGAACTTAACAAGAGCTTCTCTTTTGGCGTCCTTTATGCCATCGTAGGCTGTCCCGTCTGGTATTTGAATTGGAATTCCAGTCGAAGTCTCGAGCTGAAGTGTAGACCTTCCAGAAATAGTGATGAACTTGACCTTGGGCTTCATTACCTCGTCAAGTCTTTCTTGCATTCCAAGTTCTTCCATCCGACAGGAAAATATTTTCCCGACAAAGGGAAAAAATTTTTCCTTCCGACAGGAAGAACTCTTCCAGTTGTCCGTCCGTAAACCATTCAAATTTTCGAAAATTGAGAACTTTTTGGTCGAACTTCAGAAAAAGTTTTTCCTTCCGACAGAAAAAGTTTTTCCTTCCGACAGGAAAAATTTTTCCTTCTGACAGGACACAAACGGATGACTGACGTTCCTCTTCCTGAATGCCTTCCAAAGCCAGAAGAACCGAAAGCTGCAGAACCACAACAGTCTCCTCAGCAACCTCAGTTCCAGCAAGTACCTCCGAATTACTACCAATTTCCACCTCAAGGTTACTACCCACCACAAGGCTTCCCGAACTACCCTCCTCAGCCTATGCCTTACTTCCCCAACCCTTGGTTGTTCCAGCAAGCTCCACCCCAGCAATTCCAATTCCAATCTCAATCGAAGAGAGACCAAGACTTCGAAGAAGGTCTAAACCGCTTACGCAAAGAGTATGCTACAGCTCCAATGGAAGACGACAGGCTTTCAGTCTCTTCCCTCAAATCGACCGATTCGACTCGTACCACAGATTCGGTTCGTAACCGTGAAGACTACCTCAAGCAGTCTGAGAGACTCTTCATCCTACAACCATTTACAGTTGGAGCTCTCAAGAACATGCGCAATTACGAAGGTCAGACACCAGCTGGAGACCGCAAAACAGACGTACTCGCAAGAGCCGTCCAGCTCGTCAAAACAAAGACGGAGATAGTCGACTTCATACTTGCAGCTTGCCCTTACAAGTAAAAAAATAAACAATTACGAATTAAACTTTTTACTCTTTCTTTTCTGAGTTGTTTAGAGCTGGTTTCTCTTGTAGAAACCTTTCGTACTCTTCCATGGTCATGTAATTGCGAATTTGGTACGCAATTCCAGGTTCGTTGTTTTTGAACCTGATGTATGTAACGCTTCCATCCTCCTCAGGGAAGTAAGCTGCTAACATCTGACCAAGTTTTCTCGGTGACTCGGAGCTCATAAAAATGTCACTTTTTAAACGTTAAGTTTTTAGTCTTAATTTACCCTTTGTTTGTCAAGGTAGTATTGGAGTGCAATTTCTCCAAATTCTCTGTGTCGGAGTTCTTCAGCATTTTCCAAGGTGTACCTGGAGAACTCAAAGAAGTTGTCAAGAACATACTGCCATGCTGCTCTTCTGAGTTCGTCGGTATTTTGGAAGTGTTGCACCTTCGAGTCTTCGGACATGAAAAAATGACACTTTTTCTATTAAACCGTTTTGGCATTTCTCATGAGTGAGTATAGTTCTGCCGAACCATTGGAAGAGAAGAAGTACCCTTGCTGGCAAAAGACAAAAATAGTTGCCTTAGTTGTCATTGCAATTGTACTCGTAATTGAATTCATTGTACTTCTCTTCACGTACATAAAACTCAGCAATGGTATTTGCTTTAAGAAGCTACCATCTTACTAAGACTAAACACTTAGATTTTTCAAGCTTGACTTTTTACAATTTGAACTTTGTTTGCGTAGATATGAATTCTGAAAGAAGTATGAGGGTCTTGTATGACTTTGTACTTCTCCCATAGTTCATGTCTGTCAAACTTACCTGCCATGGACTCTTTCATAAGTTCCATGAAATCGTCTTCGGACAATCCGGGGAAAAGTATTATGTCAGTAAGTATTCTTTTAACATCCTTACTTAAACTCTTTGCTGTCTGTACACAAATGACAACTGAGATGTTAAAGTGTCTGAGCTTCTTAAGAATTCGACACATGTCTTGTTCTCTGTTCTTTAACAAAGGATGAGAGCGAAATCATCTAAGATAAGAAGACATCTATGAGGGTAAGTCTTCCAATCGTAAGATTGCAATTTCTTCGAAATGTATTCTATCTCTTTCTGTTTGTTTCTGAAGTGTTTCTTCTCTAATATTCTCTGCATTTCCTCATTGGGTCTTTAAACTTAGAATTTATATACTCATTTATAGCATTATACTTCAAAACTCTTCTTTGGTACTTCTTTATCCAATCTAACAACTCAGTATCCTTTATACATACTAACTTAGACTTCTTTATAATATCTTTGAACGAATTGACGGTTTGGTCAAATTGACCAGAAGTCGAACAAATAACAACTAACTCATAGAATGGGTTCTTCTCATCTAGTTCTTGTTGTTGTGCAGCCATTTTAAGATAAGTGAAAGTCTTACCAGACCCAGGTGGTGCAATTAGACCTGTTATACCATTCTGAGCAAATAAGAACTTGTCATGTATAGGCTTTATCTGAGCATTTTCTAACTTCCTCTTGTTCTTGTTTAAAACATTCTCAAATTTCTTGTCAATGTCAGCAAACTTTTTTTCTAACATATTTTTAGAAAAATTAAAATTTTTATCTTTTAGAAAATGTCTAGCGATTTCGCTATCTATATTCGAGACAAACTTTTTGACAGCAAAACATCTGTCGACCATAAAATCTTACATAGTGTAAACAAGAAAGGTGAATTTGTTCTAAAGTTCTGTTTCTGGGAATATGACAAGAACCATAAAACATTACAAAGAGCAGTCTTAAAATTTGTCAATGACAGACTTGTTGACAGAGATGACGCCGATTGGAAAGATGAAGTCCAACAAAAGTTCTTAGAATGCAAAGAAGACACATGCGCTGTTCTTGAAGATGAAATAGAAAACAGAATAGATGAGCTATTAAAGGACAAAGAACTTTTACATAAATATGGTTCTGAGAAATTTGACGTCTCACCACCAGAAAAGAAGAAGAAAGAAAAGAAAGAAAAAAAGAAGAAGAGAAGAAAGAACCTGAACCAGTTCCAGAGAAAAAGAAATTTGACATGTAAAAATAAAATTTTATTTTTAGAACATTTCTGGGTCAATGTCAATGTTCTCTTCCTCTTTAGGAGTAAACACTGGCTTAGACTCTAAAATCTTTTTACCCAATTTACCTTGAACTTCTACAACTTTAGACTCATAATATTCATAGTCGTCTGTCTTCTTTGGTTCATAAGGTATAACAAGTTTGTATGCTTTGCCTTCTTTAAGGTTTGAGAACCTTCTGTCAAAACTTTCTTTGACTGTTAACAAACCTTCTATGTCTAAGTCTTCAAATTTCGCACCATTTTTAGTCACAATAGCAAACTTAACTGGTTCGATGTTCCAAACTTTGCTGAATGAAGACTTTTCAAAATGGTAGAAGTAAACATTCAAATATGTGAATGGGTCTAGTTCTTCTTTAAGTCCTGACATGTACTTGTTTACTGAAATATATTTCGTCATCTTTTCTATCGGATAAAAAATATTTTTTTTAAAATTTACTCAAAAAATTTTTCTTTGTATATACACCATTCTGTACGTCTAAAAGACTTTTGACATTTGCCAAGAATGTACGTTTAGAAGCTGCCATATAACCATATTCTTGACAATATTGTTTATATTCATCATATAAAGACTTTTCATCTAAACACTCAAAGTCAGTTTCATCTATGAACAGTTCATATACACTCTTGTTTGCTTCTAACAATGTTTGTCTCTCTTCGGTATGTGGAATTTGTCTTGGATTGAACTTAGAAATATCTAATGTCATGAAATATGAGAACAAGTGGTTGTAAAAGTCAGATGTCAAAGTTTCTGCTAAGTCGTCAAAATATTCTGTATCTTGCATATGAGAATCTGACGTTCTGACAACTACATATCTTCTGTCAGAACTTTCTAACTTCATCGGAACAGCATTGTTTGAAACCATAATGAAGTTTGCAACATTTTCACAAACTCTTTGGTCTTTATACTTTCTTTCAACAACTCCAACTTTGTCTGTTATAAGACTCTTCAAAGCATCTGAGTTCAAAACTTTTGTTGTATCTATACTTTGAAGTTCATTGCAAACTATAAGTTTCATATTCTCTATTGAGGAGTTAAACTTGCCACAGATGTTTTCTAAGTTTGTCATATTAGGGTTCGAATAACCTTCTAACAGTTTGCATAAGATATCTGTAAAGAATGTGTTCTTACCTGTTCCTTGTTTTCCAATTATAATGAGAGCAGTTTCATTTTTAGCACTTGGATGTTGTAAGATGTTTGCAAACCAACATAAGATATACTCATAAACCTTTCGTTTCCATTGCATATAATTTCTTTGACATGGTCTAACCAAGCTTCTATAATATTTTCTTTCCATTCTACTTGTTCATATTTATATCCAGTGAAGATAGAATAGAAGTTTGGAGAAGGTGTATAAAACTTTATACCACGAACTGAAAAATCTTCAAGTTTTGACAATAAGATATCCCAAGCATCTAACATCTTCATGCCAACTTGTACGACTTTTATTTTCTTAAGTTTCTGTCTACATTCTTGTTCAACACTATTGTTGCTCTTGGTTTGTTAAAGACAACATCCCATTCTTTCATGACATAACATTCTGGGGCAGAGTCAACATAAATGACTAAACGTTTCAAATTCTCGACTGCTTTGTTATAGTCTCTAAATGGACACATATTTCTGAATGCTTGGAAGTCATAAAAATCTGAAACATCTATTCTGTACATTTTTATAAAAATAAAAAAAATATTATTTTTTTATTCTTGACTTTGTTGTTCCATTTGTTGCATTTGTTGTTCTTGAGCTATTTGTTGTTGAAGTTGTTCTTGTAATACAATACTTTCACCAGTTGCATCTTCCAATTCGAAACTTTCTGCCGTCATTGACAAATACATAGGACATAAAAGTTTTACAGGAACAAAGTTTGCGTCAACTAATGTCAACGTTATACTTGCCAAAGTGTTTGAGTTCACTAAGGTTGAAAATTCTGCATTCGAATGAACAATAGGCAAACCAGCAGAGAAAGTATTGTTTATACGCATAAGTATCTTTTGGTCATAATAGTTTCTGTCGACATTCGAATAACACTTTGAACCTAAGTTTGAAACAATATATAAGATTGGTGTGCTTAATGTCAATGGAATAGACATTCCTTGTATGACACCTTTTCCTGTTATAGGAAACTGTT